TATTTATAATTCAACGACTTGGATCGTGGACTTTGACAGTATATGTAGCAAACATTTGCCAAAGTGACTTTCTGTTGTTTGCGCTGTCTTTATGCTGGGAATCAAAGTACTTAAATACAGATTTCTATGAATGAGAAGCCGCACGAACTGTGGCAAGGAAGGCAAGCATTGATTCTCTTTGTTTCCAAGATGTCAACCCACTATAATAGAAGCATAAATTCATATTCTGTTGTTAGGAAAAGTGGGGAGTTAGTGGAGAATTCTATGTTAGAAGAATATTAAGTGAGTGTTTTAGGGAATAAAGATACCAGCAGCTTCTGGAGCAAACCAAATCATGCTTTGGGTATTTAGATTTTGGCCCTTTTTGAGTGAAGCTCATTAGTGCGTGGTGGAACGAGGAGAAATGGAGAATCCCAATCAGAGCTAATGCTCGGGAGATACAACTATAGAATTTACTACTCATGGTTCTCCCGAGGAGACTATAAATATTTTAGAAGTTGAACTGCCGATTGGCTTCAACATCGTTTTCTTGTTTAATGCTGTCTTCCATATTCGATCTGTAAAAATTTTGTAACTGTCAAGCTTTGTCTGCCAGGTGCAAATGAAAATCCATGTTGGCATAATCTCCGATTTGACCTAGGAAAAGGGTCGGAAAAGGGGTTCAGGTTCTCCAATCCTTGGTTGCCATTGGTCCACTTGGCCTACCAGCGTAACCGCACTCCTAGAGGGCAGATTTTTAAATGTCATAGCCACTGGAAACTTCCGTGCCCAGTGAAAAATCTACTTACCATTCGATAGCATTGAAGAATCTTTGCCAGAAGAATTCAGGCTACTCTACCGAAGGGTGAGAGGGAAAGCTACTGTGGAAGCTATAGAGATGTGTAATTATAGCCTACTGTTACTAGTTTTAGCAAAGCTGAGTGGTTGTTTTCTTCACAAGTTCGGGTGTTGAGCAGCGATTGATGATGGACTACACGATATAGCCCGGCAGTCATTTCAAGAGAGTACACAGTTGCAGAATTGTTCAACGAGACTAGACTAGGCAATGATGTGAAGAATATTTCGCAGCAGTGTTTAATCAATCAAGTTAGAGTGCAGTGTTGGGCAATGGTCACATCTGCAGGGTTTTAAAAACTTGGGCTCTTATAGCTCAAGACATGAGCCTATTTCTTGAACGTCATTAGGCCTGGATCGCTGAGCTAGATAGAGCATCGCCCTTAATAGTTGCCAAATGGGTAGAAAGGCCCTGTAAATTGGACTGGAATTTGGGGAATATCAGCAGCCAGAGATTGGGTGGCATTAACAACTTACTGCAAGATTAGCTGCCAAAGAATATATGTTGTTCATCCAGTTGTTTTTCTAGAAGTTATAAGACATGCATATTCCATACATACATAACAGAGTTAAAGAACAGGAGAGGGGAGGAAGGAGAGAAAGATTTGCAAGGATATTGCTTGTTATTAACATTAATAACATATTGAAAAAGAGTGTCAGTAAGGTTTATCAACAGAAGAAGGGCAGTGATGAAGAAACACAGTGGCAATGCCATATAGTTCCTAGCAACAGAAAGCATCTGGACTAATTTAATCTCCTTTACAAACTTTTCCAAAAACCAAATTGCGGCATGCTCAAGAAGAAGTTCTCCACTGCATCTCAATTTGAATCCGACCATTCTTGGAGTCAATGAGATTATACTTTTCGTTGATTCTTCTATTACTAACAACATCAGCTAGGTTTATAGTAACATACCCCAAAGATTCCTGGTCACAAAATGTAAAGAAGTATTATTATTTGATTACATAAAAGGATAATGTATTTAAATTTCAAATTACATGCAATAGGCATGGAGAAATAGAAGTTTGTTATGTACAAGAGCGGGTGGTTCATCAATATTATCAAACTGAAAACTCGAAGTCATCAGGATAACTAGTGTTTATGATGATGAGATCAAAAAGTGAAAGAGAAAATCCTATCATATAAAGAAACAGAAGGGTCTCAATACCATGCAGCGTCAAGCTTCTAAATATACCCTCTTATAACAGTTCAAAGAAAGAGAGAAAGAGAATGAAAATGAACGCAAAAAATGAAATGTGCACCTTGGGATGCAGTAGCCCTATCCTGGAGGATGTACTGAATACTTCCACGTGAACTTTATCATTTGTGGGTGGTTCTTCCACCATAAACTGAAATTCATCTTCCCATCTTGGATCTCTGCTTTTCTTTACACGCTGAATCAATGCCAAACACAATTGTCAATTCCGGACAAGAAATCAAAATGTATGACAACTGACAAGAATGCAAAGCTCAGACAAAATATGGTACAGGGATGGGCCATTCAGGCATATATAAAAGAGGTAGCATTGTTGATTCACAATCAATAATGATTAATAGAGGACGCATACTGGAAACTGCCATATTTATGACTAAAACATCGCATTAAACAAGATCACATGTACCAATTATAACGAGTACAGTTCTCTCAGTTGATAAATTGGCACTATTGGCAGTTCATGAAGTGTGTTTTTTTTTTTAAAGATATTTTCAATTTTAAATGATTGTATCAACAACTGTTGGAATGGAAATGTTATTGAAAAAGTGAGAGATGTGTTGGAGAATGCAACAACTTATTGACTAAGAAAGCCTAGTTATACACTTTTAGTTTTATGAAACCAAATTTTCACACTGTTGTCTCAAAGTGAAACCATGCTTGAACATACTAATTTACAGCATATATTTATGGATTACCTTTGTTTTTCTCTCCTCCCCTCTGAATAACAAACGTGCATGTGGGTTTGTATGGTACTTTCCTTCGACATCTTCAGCTTCATGCACAATAATTACAAGCAAACCTCCACCTGCAGGTGTTCCTTCTGGAGCTTTTTGTACCATATTTGATTCCTCAATGTCATTTGGCATCTCATCCTCCTTGAAGGGTTTGTACAGAACTTCCAGGACAAGCTGCCCACGTGACTTCTCATTTTGTGGATCATTTGGGTCCATATTTTTCAGCAGCTCAAGAGTCAAAACTTTTGGTTCATCAGGTGTAAGATCTTTCAGTGGAACAACATTCATGCCCATCTCGTCATGTGAGCCAATCTGATTAAAAGTTAACATACTGCTTGAGAAATACTTGTGGAACATACACAGGCATACATGAGTTGCCAAAACATACAGAAATTTGCACAGGGTGGCCAGGAATGCTTTAGATCATAAGAAGGTAGGTCTCCTAACAAGGACAAACAGAACAGTAATGTGTCCAATTACTTCACATCGCCAAATAGAAAGGTTATGCTGATCTCCTCAGAAACAACCTCAGAGCCTATGGTTAATCTAGAAAACTCATCAAAAGAAACATACCTGCTCCCAGTCATAGACATTTATCTCCAAAGCTTGAGTACTTGGATCTTTAACAACAAAATTGAATTCCTCATTCCATTCAGGGTTCAAGTTGCTGTGTTTCACAGTAGTTTTCTTTGTAGAGAGTTTTTCCTCTGTTAGTTTTAGTTTCACATAAGGATCAGATTTCCCCAGAAGATCTTTCTTTTTAAGCTTCATTGCTCTCAGCACCTTCACATCCAGAATCCCAACAGGTTTCTTCATGGCTCTGCCAATTTAGATAGATTTTAGCAGATAACAGATAAAGACTAAGCTGTCACTTGAAACCAAGCATAAAGCTGGCATAAAGCTGGAAAAAACACACTTACTGTGTAGGATCCATTATTTTCACTTCTAAGGCTTTAGGCCACAGGTACATATTTGCAACTTGGTCTTTTATGAGCTCCTGGAGAAAACAGTGTCCTTGTCAAGAAAAATGAAGTATAAATAAAAAACTTGGGCATGTTAGGATTGCATACAGGATTCTTGGAAAATAAAGGGTGTGATGACTAGCATAGAGATTTGGTAAGGAAATGCCGGAATTCACCTTTCCCTTTGGAAAGTGAAAGGAAAAAAGAGAAATGGGCATAATATTTCGCAAACATAACCATTACAATACAGTGTAATAACCTTTGAAGAGGATACTTTCAGACATGATGCATATAACAGTGTTGTCCATCACAAAACTTAATCCATTACAAGAAGTATTACCTGGACAAACCTGTATAGTCCAGGAATGGCCATAACATCTGCCCCAAGTACCTTTAGCCCAAAGTCAACATGTGGCTGCAAAATCAAAATGGAAGATTAGGATAAAAAGGGAAGAAGAAAGCAAGATCCTTCTATACAAAATACAACTGTGAACTGTCTTGATGTTTTTTCCAAGGCAGATGATGCAGAACTGAATGATGATGAAACTTTAGGCAGTCAGAAAATAAATACGAGATAAAGTTAATAACACAACTTCATAAAAATTGAGATGACAAATAGGAAAAAAAAATTCCTAAAAAGTATGATTCTTAGAGACTTATGATCTCTTTGTTATCAGCTTCAAATCCATAACATAGTTCATAAGAACTCATGATTGCAGTACAAACTTGATTACTCAATAAATAACCATGTATGGCTTGTCAAAATACAACATACCTTATCCATTAGGGAGACATATATATTGGCAAAACAAGGAAACACACTAAGCAAAGGCTTCAGAGTGACTCGAGGAGCAGCAAATACTTGCAAATCAACAACCTGAAAGACTCAAAAAAATCAATGCACCCCACTGGAAATGCACATGTACTTCTCTCTCTTGCTCTTGCTGAACCATTTTGTTCACACGGTTGTGTACTCATGTCTGTTCATTAGAGAGACAGAGAGGGAGAGAATGTGTATGCATGTCTGTCATGTTTTGTCATGCATATTTCTTTCTCTTAATACACCATTACACTAGAAAATACCTGAATTGTGGCTTTTAATCCAAAAGCTTTAACTGCAACAATGATGTTAGGATTGCCTGCCCACTTAAATGATGGTTCCATAATAAGTTCCTTCTCATCAGTGACATAGACTTTCATTCCTGGCATATAATGAGATCCACAATATGTATCACTCAATAAAATTTTGTGCTATAATTACAAGGGAGAAGAAAAAGAACAAAACACAGACTTGTGCATCTGAGCTAGGATATAAGCAAACAACATCAGAACCACATAATCAGAAGCCTAATGGCCATTGTTCAGACTCATTTCCCTTACAGAGCCCGCCAGTCAAGTTTTATGGAAGTTGGAGTAATCTCAGTTACACATAACTCTATTTCAATCTGAAAATTAGTTGTTTGTCACATAAGTGAATGAGAGGGTTATACAACTAAATCCAAAATCTAGTCTAATGCATAACCAAGACATCTAGCATGCTGCATTCGTTTCAATCTAAAGTCCTCCACTTGTGAAAACAAGATTTTTAAAAATGATAACGTTTCTGTCATGATTATCACGATAATCTGATACCTTGAATAAGTATCTCTCCTTTGCATGCAGAAAAGATTTCAGATCAAGTGATTATATAATGAGAACATGTTTACATGCCGCATGCAATTGAGGATATGTTTGTAGAATGTGTAGAAGTATGTGTCCAAGAAAGAGAAGTCAACCTTGAAAAGTTGGTGGTAGGGCACCCAGAGTAAGTGTTTCGAATTCAACTGACTGAATTTTGTATTTTGGAATTTGCTCAGCGATAATGGGCTTTGCTATAGTCTTGGCAGTGTTGCAAATTGCCTAGAAAACTTGAAGTGTCAACACTCAGCAAGGAATTCAAAAAAGCAAGGCCAAACAAATATTCTATCCATAACAGGTCCAAGATCATTGCAGTTAAACATACCGTATCCAGATAAGGCCACATGTTCTCAATAATTTTGTTAATCCAGTCAACCTTCAGAGAAACAAAACAGTTACAACCTTGTTGCATAACTTAATACACTTGAGACCAAACATATGGAAATGCCTGGAAAAAGAAATAAGAAATCATTTCAGAGAATAACATACACGGTCAAAATCTGGATTTTTAACCCACAAGGGAATCTCCGGAAGCAACTGCTGCAAAGTTTTTGAGTCTTCCTCGACCAAAGGCCGAATTTTGGGATCCTGAACACATGACATGTTAATAACCAAAAGAAACAATGCAACCATCGTATCAATGGTTCAAAAGGCTGGATCATGACATTGGAGACAATTTATTTCGTTGTTCTGCTGAATTTAAAATGCTCAGGGAGGTATGTTCCCACCATTCACAGAACAACCAAAAAAAGAACAGAGGAAGTAAGAAGGAAGAGGAAAAGAGTTCACATATTCAGAGAAATTTCTCAGGACCAATCGATTTTGTTTACTTCAATGGTGCATTATACAAAAGTCATAGTTCAGAAATATTTATCCTAGTAGATTGGAATTTTGAATGAAGAAGTCTTATTCACATGGAAAAGATTTCTTCGTAGTTTTTCCATATGATAGCTTCACTGTGATGATTACAGTTTCTTATTAGGCACTTGTGTTTCTATCTGTTTAGCACGAATTACAAACATTTGCAGCTAACTGTTCCAACCTGCCGTACATAGCATCATCAGACATTCAAACAAGCCAAAAAGTTTGGTGATCCAAGTACAGTAAGCAAAATAACAGAAAAAAAGTAATAAAAAAGAAATGCAGTAAGCAAAAGCATACTACTGTTAAATGTTAATCCGAGCAAAGAAAAGCTTCTCGATCCTAAAACTGAAATTTTCCTCAGAAAAACCTAAAGCTCACGCCTGCTTGATAATTTCAAAACCATGTCTTTTGACTGAAAAAATTGTGAATATACCTCTTCCAAAGTACAAACCTTTGCACAGTGATACAGGAAGTAGAATCCATAAATTGGCTAAAAATAACAGCTGGAATTAACCATAAATATGATCCCATTAATTTGCAGCTCATAAAAACAAAAAAAAAAAACAGTTGATTAGCTTAGAAAAAGGTTAGCATTTTCAATACCTATTCATTCTTTCAACTAATAAATGGACAAAATTTAATGACGCTTAGTGAAGCACAAGAACAGCCACCTACGAAACAACGCTTCAGTCAAACAAACACTAAGAAAGGCCAACGGAGAACCAGAAAATCCACACACACACACACACAAAGCAAAACATAACCGGAATTCGACAAAGAAATAAACAAACCTTAACATAAGTGGGCAGAAAGTAGATGAACATGTAATACCCAATGACGAGCCCCATCGAAGTTCCAATTCCGAAGCCAAAAACACCCAATATAGAGCTCATCACACCCATTTTCAAGGCTTCTTTCTTTCTTCCTTTTTTTTCTCTTTTAAGATCCCTCAAACACTTAAATCAAAGAGGCCTAAAAGTGTTTTGCTCTGTTCAAGTTAAAATAAAACCAGATGGAGGAAAAAAAAGAAACCCAGGGAAGGAATCTGAGTAACTAACATTTTTGTCTGAAGTAAATGAGAAAAGGAGAGAAAAAGGGCTGAGATATTATGGTTTTAAATCTTATCAGGAAGTGCATTAAAGGAGCATTTACTTCTTGTGGCCAATCTTTTACGTTCAAATAGCCGCTCCATTTTTGGACCTACACAACTGGTTTCGCTATGGAAATTTTCAAGCGCGTGATCCTTGCTCCTGTGTCGGTAACGCCCAATTGGTTGGTTATGAATTCGCTCCAATTTTTTACTTCCTTTAATTTTTTCTTTACTAGCTTAAAGAAAACTCTATAAATACTGTTAATTTATTATTGTAAATAATGTTGGAAGCTGTACTCTTTAAAAAAAAATGATCATGCTGATTTTGTTGTTTTAATTGAATATAATAATAATTAAAATCATAAAAAATTAAATAAAGTTTATCCAAAATAATTTAAAGACAGAGAAAATAGATAAATGGCAATATTTTATAACTGCTACAGTGTTTTTATCTGTAGCTGAAAAGCATGCTATATCCAAATGAAATATAAATGAATTCTATTGGTCTTCCCATTTGTCTTGTTTCTGAATTTTGTTTATTAAATATACTTTTCTATAAATAGCCTTTGAGCAGGGAGAAACTTTTTTTGCCCCTTTTTTTGTGGATCCCGATTCCACCCTTCGTCTTCTCCCCAGCATTAATAAAATAATGGCTGTCTGTAGCCCAAACACCGTGATGATAACGGTCTCGTCACCCTGGATCTTTTCCGTTGCTCCAGCGAAAAAACTATTCTTCCGTTATGTATTGGGCGCTAAACCCCAATTTCCGTTATTTCGTATGGAGCATTAATTGGCCCTGTTCATATATCTCACCTAATTCATTATTTTTTTACTATAATTTATTTATTTTTTCATATGATATCTTGTAACTTTTTTTTATTAATCTCTAGTGGATAAATTATATTTTTAAAAATATTAAACAGATAATTTTATCAAATACAATTATGAAAATAAATTTTACTTTTTATATTTACTGAAAATAATGCAACTATGTAATAAGGTTCTCACTTATTGGGATAAAATCACCAATAAAAATAATAGAATTAAGTTAATTAATAGTAAAATAATTCACTACAAAATTTATGCAATCATTTCAATTTTGAGAAATGGATTCTCGATTTAAACCCAAGTAGGTTAAAATACTGTAACCTTTTCCATCCACCTTTTTTCTACAATCATAGCAATTTTTTTGGCTATATAATTAGGAGGAAGTTATGGGACAAATCAAGTCATGTTCGCATTATTATCATTGCAAATGGGCGAATAAAACCAAAGTCCCCAAGTGACCTATGTGTCCCCCTAATTATCCTTGTCGACAGGTTTGGACCTACCACGTGTACAAACCAAACTTTTATCTCTTGTCTCCCTGTCACCAGGGGTAGCCCATCTTCCATCTTCAGAGATTTGTTTTGTTGTCTTATTTCTTGTTTTTTTTTTCTCCCACTTGTCTTGCCATCTTTCCTGTTTCTATATCCTGAGGAATATGTAAACATATATTCGATAATCATTGATACGTTTAAATAAAATTAAGATATTTTAATAAATTAATATTATTTTTTATATTCGTATTTTGTTTTAAAATAGAAATATATACATGTTCCAAAGCAACAACACTCCAAAGTACAAACCAACTTTTACCTCTGTTTTCCCTGTCCCCGAAGACAGCCCATCAAGAGAGATTTCGTTGGTTGTTCTATTTCTTTGTTTTCTCTTTCTCCCAATTCTCTCGTTATCTTGCTCTGGTCCCGTGACATAACCGAACCTGTTTCCATCTCCTGTTTGAGTTTCAGTGCATGGTTAATTACAAGCCCTTTTTTTATAGCTTCGCTGTCTCTTTTACATGGAAATCGACTGAGATTAACTTAAACTTGTGGTCACCATCGCGTTGTGTTCTAAAGCGTTTGATGGCACGTTGCGGTCAGGAATTTGATTGTCTCATTGGCATGAATTTCCAAGGATGTTGACAAAAGTTTACCAAATATCTACTAGTTGATCACTGGGTACACAAAATGGGATGAAATTAATTTCCCTCAATGAATCTCTCTAATTGAATTCCAAACATTTTGTTCGTTACAAGTTGGAATTTAGTTTGGTCAGTCTAGTCACTGACAGTGTTTTAATCATCAAACATGGGGGGACAGAGTGAGTTGGGGATGGTCAGGACGGGCCCAACAATTGGCGACGTCCATGATCGCTTACCCCAACCGCCAGCCATTACTTTTGAAGAAAAGGAAAGGGTGCCGTGGTGGCTGAAAGTCGAGAGGATTGTTGTCCAGATGTGGCTATATTTGAAACAAGTTTAGCTCATGTTTTTGGTAGAAATTATTGAATTAATTTGTCCAAAATTATTTAAAAAAAGATGTCAAAGGCATGTGCGGTTGTTCATCTGGATGAATAACTTTTGGGATAGGCATGTAGGACCCCAAGTCTTATAACCATCATTCGATTCATTTCTCCACTGACAAGCCAATGAAAAAGTTGCATTGACTTGTCTGTTACTACAACTTTTAGATGAATTTGCTTAACGCTTCTACATAGAAAACTCGAAAGCCCAAATCCAAGCAAGCCTGGGAGATACTACCTTCGTTGTTTTCAGGAGAAGAATTCTTGTGGGTGTGTTTGGCCCAAAGCCCCAAACAAGCAAATGGAACTTGCAAAATATATGGGTCCGTGATAGAGTGATAGCAACTACTTCTTATTGGGTTAAGCTCCGAATCCATTTCAATAGAGAAAAGCAAACTTGATGAAATTTGTTCTTAGGGTTTCATTTATATCAGTATGAAATTTTACATTGCCCCACTTCATTAATTGAATCTTAGTATATGATTTTGAAACAAAAAAGGTGGTAGCAGCTAGTAGTGAATATTCTTTTTGCTTGGTTACATTGCATTGATCTTTTAAATTCTTTTAATCGTTTTTACGGTTTAAAATATGTATATTGTCAAAAATATTCAACTCATGGCAATAAATTTAACTAAAGACCGCACATTTTAAAATTATACTTTTTTGTATATACATTGGGATAAAGAAAGTAAAATAACTACATCATTCTAAGCTATAAAACACCCAAAATATGTGCAAATAAGAGTGAACTCATACTAGTTGAAGGTAAGTCGAAAATATGTAACCCAAGAGATAGGTCGTCATGATGTGTGGTTGCCCTTTTATTGATTTGATCGTGTTATATAAATTTTTAACAACAATATAGATAAAATATAATTATAAAAATTACTTACATTAGCAAAAACTACATATTTGATATTACTATTAAAAGTGAAAAAAAAATACCCCTAAATTTTAAATAACCATACTTTATAAATTGTCATTATACTTTAAAAAAATAAATTTCATTTATATAAAAATATATACTTAAAACCCAAATTTGCTATAGCGAGACTTTTCCTTCAGGGAAAGGTGTTGGGTAGTTGGAAGGCGTGAGGAACATTTTCTTGGATGATTCGGATATATCTAAGAAAAAGTAAAAGAATAGTCTCATATGTTTTCTTTTTTTTTTGTTATCATTTGACCATTCTTTTAAGAAACCTAGCGTTGGCTTTGTCTATGGAGACGTTTAGATGGCCCCCTTGTTTCTTGTCATGCATGAGCACCAACTTTGTAGCTTTGATTTTTTATGCCGTCTTGCCTTTTTCTTTACTCCAATTATTGCATGGTATCCAACTACATTTTCACCTCCAGAAAGTTCATTTCATCGACAAAGGGATCTCCCCTAGGATTTTTATGGAGGAAGCCCTAATAATTAAAGGCCGCCTAGAATATAAAAATGAACAGAAGAAAGGATCAACCATGGCTTGTATCTAAATGGTCGGTGCATCGAAACTGATAATCTCACGTCAACCCACCTAATATAATAACAAAACATAAGATGAGATACAGTCCTGAAGAGTACTAGAGAACTATTAAGACACACGTCAAATTGTAGCTTGTTGTTTACCAAAGTTGAGTAACTAGCTTAATGCTATCCGACCTAAGAAAGGAAATCAGAGGGGAGGGGGGCATGGGGTAACTGATCATATAATGCTGTCCTGAAAGCTTTTGCCTTTGAGGTGATCTGCCCTTTTGCCAAAGATGCTTTACCCAAGCTTACTTTGATCAACCCCATAACTTTTTTCTTTTTTCTTTTTAATTATTATATTCTAATTATTCCATTAACAATTTAAAAATGGTCTTCAACATAGGGTACAAAGGGGAATAATGATCTGGAAATTGGTATTCAGTTGTCATTGACGATATTTGCACTATGAAAACAAGCTGACTTAGAATTTAGACAAGAATAAGACACTTGATATTATCAATCTCAAATTATTATTATATAAAACAAGGCTTAATCATTTCATATTTCCATGATTATCACTAATCATATGATTAATAACTAATTTATAAATAAACCGAACCCTAAAACTTGTTGCACCATTATTATACGACAAAACCACTTACAACTTGTCCGTTAAAAAAACAGTATGATCGTCATGGAATTAATGTTTTCATCTCCTTGCATTTTGAACCAGACCTTAACTATATAAACAAGCCTAATCGTCTCATATCTCCGCAATTATTGCTAATCATATGATTAATAACTAATTTATAAAGCTAAACCTGAAAACTATACTACTAATTAACTCGCTGCACCATTATTATAAATCAAAATTACCTACAACTGGTCCAAATAAAAAAAAACATTCTGGATCACATTGCATTTTGAGCCATAACTTTGTTATATATATATATATATATATATATATACTCGTAGACAAAGCAAGGACCAAAGAAAGAAAATAAAAGAATGAAGGAAGGAGGGCATGAGGACTGTTAGGTGCATGTGAAAGCAAAACGACGTGCGATGAAACTTGAAACGTAAGCATGAAACTGAGCAACGAGAACCAGAAGAAGAAAAGTAATAATCATTTTATTATGGCAGGTATCGAGACCGCCAAATCTATGCTCCGTTGGTTTGGCGTCATCACTAACTGATGCTATAATATCCCGCAGAAACTTTTGAAACTATTCATTCTGTTCACAGCTATGGGGGTTTTATTAGGTTCCCATTGTTTGGCAGCCTGCCCTTTGAAACAAGGCTGTACTTATTGTAGTATTAATTACTTACGTCTCTTAAATATTATACTTCTTCCCATTCCAATTTTTTAATTGGACTATTCTGAAATGAAGGGTTTTCACTTAATTGTAATTTTTGGTTGAATACAATCTTTTTTTAAAGGAGCTTAGATTTTTCCCGTTCTCCATCTCACTTTCGGTGTGGAAGACTTCGGGTTTTGTAGCTGATTGAAATCAATACCATGAGTCATTATCATGATCTCCATAAAATTTGTTAACAGTGCTCATCTAGCCGTCTGATTAACGCTTTTAATGCAGATTAAGTGGGGTAGCGGATAGATTGTCGTCGCTAAAAGATTTATATTGCTGGCCAGACGATTGCCCCATATTCTTGACGCTCTTAATACGGCGAATTGGGACTTTAGAAACCATGTATATTTCTCGGAAGATTTAATTTCGTCCTTAAAACCGCAAGAAAGGTCCTTTTCTTTTGGATTTTTCGATTTCACAATTACTTAAAACGTGTTATCTTATTTTTTGATGGAATTAAAAGGATATTATTGTTCTCAATCACATAGCGTTGCACTATCAATTTGTACATTCAACATCCTCCCGATATGTGACACATCAATCTTTGACCGTAATTAAAGGATATTAATTTATTTTTCATTCATCTTTATATTAAATTAAAGTTATTCATAAACTTTAATTTAACCAAAATTAAGATTACTATTTTTTTAACATCTAATTAATAAGTTTCTAGTTCAAGACCTATTCTTATGGGTGAGTAAAATCAAATCAAATTAATTACACATTCAAATTAAATATGATTTGGATAAAATAGTTTGGTCTAATTAATTTGTTGGATCAATTGGTTCAAAATATTTAATTTAATTAATTTTTTTTATCAATTCTCGATTTTAAAATTTTTATATCAATTCACCCAAAAAATCAAATTAATTTTTATATATATATTAAGAAAAATTGATGGTAAGCTTAATTAATAATATACTTAAAATATATTAATTTATTATATATACATATACAAATTATAATCATAACAATTAATTTTAGTTATATATTTATTTATAAATCTATATTAATATGAAATTACAATTTATATATTTTAAATTATATAACTTATATGTTAATATTACAATATATAATAGTAAATATCTTACATATTAATATATTGTAATTATTATATCTTGGTAATAGTTCGTAATATAAAATGTTATGAATATATATATAATTTATATATAAGTATTACTATAACTTATGATAAACTTTATTTATATAATTATATTTAATAACTTTATTAATTATCACTTTAGTTTTTATAACATATTAATTATAATTAGTTATTAATATTCAAATTTTGATATAAAACATTATAACATAGAAGTTGTGTCATTGATTTCATATATATATAAAAAAGTAATATATTATGTATACACATATATTTAATTTATATATAAGTATTACTGTAACTTATAATTAACTTTATTTATCTGATTATACTTAATAATTTTATTAGTTATCGTCTTAATTGTTATCACATACTATTTATAATTAGTTATTATTTATATAAACTTTGATATAAAAATTAAAATATTATAACAAATAAAATGTGTCATTAATTTTATATATATAATAAAATAATATTATATATATTTAATTTATAATTAATTTATATATTTTATAATTATGGATGAAGATTATAAATTTTAATATTACAATTTGTAAAAAATAAAATAAAATATTGATTTATTAGACCAACCAAATCAATTA